GGTTCATCGGCGACTACGAGAGGAACGCAGGTGAGGGCTTTGTTGCCGCCGCGTTTTGGGGGATCGGGCGCTCCGTGGGCGGCCGGTGCCGGGGTCGGGGAGGGGTTTACCGTGAGGTGAGAGCAGCGGGGCCTCCGCCGCCTTCTTCCGGGGGTGCCCGGGCTGCAGAGGGGCGTGGGAGGGATGCAAGCCCTGGAAATACGCGTGGGCGGCCTCAGCAGTGAGGCAGATCCCGAGTGCAAAAGAAAGAAGTTAAACCTGGGGCTGGAGGTGCATCCGATCGGTGTTCTCACCGGCCACGAAGCGCCGAGAGGTTACCGGGCTGGCAGCTCTCTGCAGTAAAACTTGTTCCCCGTGTGGGGAAAGGGGCGCGCAGTCACAGCCGTTCGTGTTCATGGCTTCACCGGTGCCCTGTTTCACGGAAACAAGGTTTACTTCAGACGGTGAAAATGTCCCTCCCTGAAGAAGGCTTGTTAGCTACACCAAGAAAATGTTGTGTAAACCTAATATTATCCTTTGCAAATGGAATTCCAGACACTAAATGATCTAGTTTGTGTCAGCTTAACGGGGAAAACCAAAAAGGTGATGCTGTGTGCTTCTTTGAGTGTAGTGCAGTGGGGAAAACTGAAGGAATGTGAAGGTAAAACATACAGCATTCTGTTGAGGAAGACACACGAAGAAGCCAAACAAATAAAAAGATCCAACAAATCTTACAGGCCACTTAGGAGAGAGCTTCACTGAAATGTGAAAATGCAAAATGAAAAGCAAACTTCTTTTCTATAATAAAAGGTGTTTTGCATGCTTACCTTCATCATCTTGGCCAAGACAGTCTTTAAGAAGTGATTTAATTCCAAGTTGCACGATACTAAATGCCAAGTTTCGAAACAAGTCAATGCAGGATTACGTCCCAGACTTCTAGTGAAGTAATAAATTTATGGGTTGTCACACATAAAAAAACTTATGACACTGGTCTCTAACTTCATGAACAGTGATACACCAGAAGCAACGTTTAATTTGTGTGTATAGTGGTGGCTGTACTCATGAACCTGTTGGTGTTCTTGGCAGGTAATCTCTATAGCAGGCATATCCAGATAGATGGAGAGATGTTGGCTATTCAAGTGCAAGATACTCCAGGAGTTCAGGTGAGCTTGATGTGGTTCGCTAAAGCAGCTTTGAACCTGGGTGTGCTCGTGTCCCTCTGCATGCAGCGTCTTATTATGGTCCATTTCAGAGTTTGGTGGTCTGTGCAGGAGAGGTGGTAGCCTGCATTGTCACCACTGACGCCAGATGTTTTGCATGCCTGTAGTATGGTGGGAGGAAAACAATTTACTGATTTGGTAAATCATTTGTACTCTGGAGGCCCATTACTTTTGAGTGGCTGAATTACTTAAGTGTCTTGTTCCTGTACATTGGGAACATTAGACACAAACCCAGCAATGATTCTGTGAAAATAGGGTACATGTGGAAGAAAATGTCATGGCCAGTGCCCAAGAAGCTTCATAAATGTGTGTGATAGAAAGCAAAGTCTGCTATTTTGTGGCTGCACTCATTAGTGTGTCAGAAGTTAAAGTTATGAATGTATAGACCTGAGTAATGCTGGATTGTTGCCTTTTTGAACTGGGCAACACTCCAGGTCTAAATGCTTCCAGCTCATATCTTTTGCTTCCCCAGACTTACTGTCTAGCCAGTTAATTTCCCATTCTGTGGAACTACAAAGTCTTTCTCTGCATGAAGAACTACTCAGGTCAATTTTCCATTTGAGTATAGCAAACTCCAATGTTAAATTCCAGCTTTTTGCAGCTGAATCAACATATGCATTTATTCGCCATGCTCGGATTAAGCTTGTACTGTGAAATGTGAATATCTATGTCTGAAGCTGTAAAATGCTATCTGGCTTTACAGAGAGGTTCCTTTAATCTTTTATGACTTCACCTATCTAATATGAGACCTTTCATTTTTCAGATCCATGAACACAGTTTGCACTGTAATGAGCAGTTGAACAGATGCATTCGCTGGGCTGATGCCCTGGTGATCGTCTTCTCCATCACAGACTATAAGAGCTATGAACTGCTCAGTCACCTTTACCATCACGTTCGACAGTTGCATCCAGGAAACGCAGTCCCCATCGTCATCGTCGCAAATAAAGCTGACCTCTTGCATATCAAAGAGGTGGAGCCTCAGCATGGACTTCAGCTGGCCAACATGCTGGGCTGTACTTTCTACGAAGTATCCGTCAGTGAAAACTACAACGACATCTTCAATGCATTCCATCTCCTCTGTAAAGAAGTCAGTAAACAGCAAACAACCAGCACCCCGGAGAGAAGGAGAACCTCTCTTATTCCACGGCCAAAATCACCCAACATGCAGGATCTGAAGAGAAGGTTCAAGCAAGCTTTGTCTGCCAAAGTGAGGACTGTCACTTCTGTTTGACAGCAGAACCGTTGGTCTTCTTTATCCCAAGACTGAAACCTGGGGCGTTTGGCACATCTAGAGTCTGAGGCATTGTGAAAGAAGGATGGTTTGGGTAGCTTTCTTGCATGGCTGTAGAAGTTCTTAAGCTGTTGCTTAAAAAACAAACAGTGGCAGATTGGAAAAGGAAAACAGACTCAAAAACTCTTGAAATAGTTCTAGGATGTGACTTGCAGAACAAGTATTTTCATTTGGAAAAAGACCTTTTTCAGTAAATGAAACAAGCTTTCAGTTTGCCTTTTTTTTTCCAGTTGGACAGATTTGGTTTTCATTTGTGCAGAAACAACCTTTTAGCTGTAACTCAACTTGTACTTGAGCAGGGAAAACACCCTGAACTGCAGTTCACTGTTCAGAAGTAGCCACTCGAGTCTTATTTTCACATGGATGAAGGACAGCATGATCTAGCCATTTAATTTTATTGCACAGTACAACTGTTTATTTCCCATGTATTTCAGAACATAAACAAACATGAAGTTGCTCTGTAAAAATAAGTGTAAAATAAGCAGACACAACTGGGTATCAAGACTCTAAACAATGGTCCTTTATTTTTTTACTAGCTGTGTTACTGCTGACAACTTGACCTGTCTCTTTGTATGCAAAGCTATTGTCTGCAGAGTGTAAACTTACCTAATTACAAATACCTTGTGGGTTATTTTACTATGTGAAAAAAAAAATACTGTACAGACTAAATGATCCAACATGGAGCTTTTAAGAAATGAGTGTGGAGTTGGAGTGATAGTCCATTAGAGCTGCCGGTGTCGGATACCTCTCTGTTCAACAGGCAGAGAAGGAATGTGGCTGTGATTCAGCTCGGTGTGAAGCACGGCTGGCTCCAGGCAATGAAGCTGGTGGTTTGTTCTGAGCGGAGCCAGTCCCTCTTCAACCTTAAACACGTGTTGCAGATTTGTGTGTATATAATTATTTTATTATTATTTTTTTTAACATTGAGCCAATGGAGTTCACAGGCTAAAGGCCTTATACACATGCACTTTAAAAAGCCAGTTGTGCTTTTGTTTAAACTGTAACTTATTTATTTTGTGTACAGTTACTCCTTCTAGGGAGTGGACTTTTCATTCTTACTGCCTGGTTCAACATTAAATTTTTGAATTGCGTGTTTCCCTGTGTGTTCTTCATGGATGAGAAACAATGGACAATAATCAGTGAAATTTTGAGACAAAGTAGTAGTTTTCTCAGAGTAGGTAACGTATACATTGCAGAAACAGTTAGAAGGCCTTGCCTGCTGATACTGTTGCTTTATTAGCATAAACCACAGGGGGGGAGCTCTCACAACTACTTTACAACTTCCTTTTAAGAAATCCTTTTAGGAGAGGAACTGAATAAAGCATAGACCTTTCAAATTAAAATGAGATTCTTCATTTCCCCTTGTCAAAAAACTTCCAGTGAGAAAGGAATGGTGTGAGGTAGGTCAAAATCTGGAAGAACACTAAGGCTTTGTAAGTGACTGCCACTTTCTCCTTAAACAAGGAAAAAAAACCCCTAGCTTTATGTATTGAGCTATGTCATAATGAAGAACTTGATCAAATTACAAGTCTTCAACTATTTTATTTGTGTTCAAAGGGAGTCCTGAGGAGGATGTTTGCACTGGGACTAGGTAACTGCTGCACAGGCTCGCCTGCTCAGCATATGGTTGT